TGGATGATCAATCTCCTCCCCGTTAGATTAACAGCCTCTGAAAACCTGCTGGTGAATTGGCTATGGGTGGGTTCTGACTGGGTGGTACTCATCAAGGGAGCTCTGATGGCATACCCCACAGGAAGTTGTGCTGCTAACCTGAAGTATGCATATCTGCTCTAGAACACTTAGTTATCTTGTGTGGCTGGATGGGGGTTTATTTCACATTTACCTCCTTTCCTTCCTCTTACTCCCTTGGGTGAAAGGTAACCTTTGGTGATAAGAGGGTTTTCTAGTATGTCATTAAATTTGATCAATCAAAGATTTGTTTTCAGTACTAAATAATAAAATCCCTTAACCTTATTTCCCAAGCCCAAAAGTATCTGAAAACAAAAGATTATAATTCAATTGGCATTGAAACCTAACTTGAACTAACACAAGGCTGTAATGTATTTATTTAAGCAATTTGGGTGGATATCTCATGTTTCCTAGTAGAAATTTTTACAGGTTTGGTTCTGGGCACTGCCCTAGACTCTCCTGGTGCTGTCCAATAAGATATACTATATTATTGTCTCATTAAAATTGGAAAACTCTAAACTCTAAAATATGCATGATCCCAGTGGCTTTGGTAAAAGAATATTAACCAGTAATAACAACAGAGTCAGTTTATTACTCTGTAAAGAATCCATCAACAAATAAATGATTAGAGAAGCTATGGTATATATTCACACAACAGAATACTACACAGCACTGAAAAACAAGGAACTCATAAAATACTATACAAAATGGGTGACCCTGGAGGGCATTATGCTGACTGAAATATGTCAGTCACAAAAGGACAAATCCTGCAAAATGCCACTGTTATAAAATAGGACTGACATGGGGATTGGGGGAAACTAAGGAAAGAGAGGATAAATAATGAACACTGCATTCACACAGATGGGGGAAATAACTGTCTAAAAGAAATATATGATTAGGTATTATTTGCATGACAATGGTTCAGAATAAGAGGTGCATAGCAGAGTGGATTGGGGAGGGTAGGGGAAGAAGGAAATTGTGCAACAATGAAAGAATTTTTTTAAAAGAGAAAAGGGAACTAGGATGGGGGATAGGGAGGAAAATGTATAACAATGAATGAATGGAAATCCAAGTTTTCTGTAAACTTCTATTAAAATATCAATAAAAAAGAAATTTATTTAAAGAAAAAATAATCCAACAGAAACAGAGCTGCTATCCTTCCTTCTAAGAGTACCTACCGTTGCTCTCCACAAGTATGACTGATAGCTCAAATTAATATTTCCTGGCCAGGTTCAAACTGAACTGATGCCTGATTCAAGCCATTGTCTTTTCAATCACTTGTGCATTTGAGAGCTGTCCGATGAATAAGGATGACAGAAGAATGAATGACTTTAAGCTGTGGTGTTGGAGAAAAGTATTGAGTATCCCACGGACTGTCAAAAAACCAAACAGATCTCAGAGAAGTCAGAATGTTCCTTAAAGGCAAAGATGACAAAGCTTTAATTCACATATTTTGGACATCATGTTGTTGTTATGTCCAATGAAATTGAGTATGACTCATAGCAACCCTATGAACAACCAACCTAATCCCTGCCCATCCTGTGCCATCCTCATCATTTCTGACACACTAGAGTCCTTTGTTGAAGTCCCAAGTGTCAATCCATCTCATAAGGAGTCTTCCTTTCCTTCACTGAGCCTCCACCTTTGCCAGCATATTGTCCCTTTCCAAAGAATACCCTCACCTAAAATATATATCCAGAGTATGAAAGACGAAGTTTTATCATCCTTGCCTTCGAAGAACACTCTGGCCATACCTTTTCCAAGACTTATCTGTTTATTCTTGTAACAGTCTTTGGGATATTCCTTGCTCTTCTCTAGCACCAAATTTAAAGCCATTAATTCTTCTTCTGTTATCCTTATTTATTGTCCAGCTCTCTGATACAAAGCAGGTGATTGAGAAGACCAGGCAGGACTTAAATCAAGCACACCTTAATCTTCAAGCTGACATCATTGCTCTTCAATATTTTGGAGAGGTCTCTGACAGCAGATTTGCCCAATGCAATATGCCTCCCAATTTCTGACTGGTGATGTGAAGAGTGTTGATTACTCATCTAAGCAAAATGAAGTTATTGACAGCTTCAGTCTTTTCTCCATCTATCATAATGTTGACTGTTGGGCCTGTACTGAGAATCTTTGTCTTCTTGATGTTGAGATGTAGTCCATACCGAAGGATGTCGTTTTTTATGTTCTGCAGCAAGTGTTTCATGTCCTCCTCACATTCAGCAAGCAGAATTGAGGCTGTTCTTTGGAAAGCAACATCACGCTTAAAAAAGGTGGAGAGCCAGTGAAAGAGAGAAAAACCCTCAATGGGTTGGATTGACACAGTGACTGCCGGAATGGGGCAGGATAGGACAGGGTCCCTTGCCAGCAACACACACATTACCTGTAGATAATATTGTCCTTCAACGGTGTGCAGTCCATCAAATGCCCCTAGGGCATAAAGTTCTTCTGATCTTTTCTCTGACATCTTGTAATTCAGATGACAGCAGAGGTCTTTGTGACAAACTGTATAATTTCCTGTGACCTCCTTAAGTGTCACGAAGGTGAATTTATCAAAAAAGACAATGCCCTTAAATTCCTGGTTTCCTGTTGCGTGTGTTCCTATACTGTTGGCATAAGTAGACCAGTTCACCGCTGAGCTGTATGGATGGGAGTCCAGTTGAGAAATGAGGAGTTTTCCCTTATTGGTCTTCATATCATAATGAAATGCTCTTGAAGAATTTGGTGCATAGATGCCACTTCCTAAAAATGGTGAATCAAAAATGTTGGGGGGAGGTTGTTAAAATAAGGAAATGAAAAGTTATTTTTAATTGTTACTATTACATTGAACTTACATTGACATTTAACTGCCTCTAACAAGCAGTTGTTATGAGGTAAATATGAGTTGACTGCCAAACAGGAAAAAAAGTATATAAATAGATAGGCAGACATGTAGATGATAAACAGCTAGATCAGTAAAACATACTTGTAAGAACAGTCATGTGAAAGCTAGAAAAAAGCCAAAATAATATGTGGTCACATTTGGAAGCAGGAGTGACATCCACTTCCTAAACAACATGCCTCTGGAAACTTTATGAACTTTGATAAATGACGATAAAAGGCTTCAGGCCTTTTGTTCATAGATCGCTATGAATCATGCTCAACTCAATGGCAATCAACAACAACACATTTGGAAAGGAAATATAGCACACATTCAAGTTGAATTAATAAATACATAAACATACAAAAATTTGGCTTACTATTGATTTTATAGTATGCCATCAAATGTTGCTGGATGTTATCCAGTCAACTTCAACTCATAATGACCCCTGTGAAAAACATCTTAAGCCTGTTCTATTCTGCACCATCTTTACCATCACTGATAAACTCAAGCACACTGTTACAGTCACTGGGTCAAGCCCTTTTTTTGACAATCTTCCTCTCTTTCTCTGACTCTCTACGTTGCCCAGTGTGAAGCCTCGTTCAAAGGACTGGTCCCTCCTGACAACAAACCCAAAGTATGTGAGTTGAAGGTTCATCATCTTTGCCTTTTTGTTGCACTTTCAAGACAGACTTGTTTGTTCTTTTGGCAGTCCACAGGATAGAGATACCCGAATGTCAAGGCTTGGAAAACTTGTCTTAAAGGATACATATCAACTGGGGGATTTTTCCCCCTCTTACCTTTTGACTTTATTGCCAACAGATGAGTGAATCTTAAAACTGCCACATTACCTGTCATTCTCTTCAGGGGTTGATGAATATTAGCTGCAAGGAAGTTGACGCCCATGCCCATAGCCCAAGCTGAGTGAAATTCAACAGCCGATAAATGTGGCAAAACATTCATCCAAGCTGTGGGGAAGAGGATGGTGTCCACGTGGAAATCCTTCACCAGGGTCACAGCAGGATCATGGAAGAGTATGTCAAAGCAGGTGAAAATGCCAAACTTCCCAAAGGTGGTGTTGAATGTCACAACCTCAGTCATCTTGGGTGAGTCGAATTGATCCTCACCCATGAAAAGATTTTTCTATGGTAAGCAAAACAAAAAGGGAGAAAAAAAATCAGCAAACAAAAACCTTTTTAGGAAGTTGGCCTTATGGCTAGTGTCTATAAATTAGTACACACATCTACTGTTGGCCAGTAAATTGGTGTCCACCATCTTCAGAGGGACAAAGCAGTACAGAAGAGAATCAGAAGCTATCCAATATAAGGTGCCTTGGATTGAATCTCCACATGTAATACCACATAATCTGTGCAAATCCTTTCTATAAAGGCCTTCTTGCATCTTATAGGAATAGAAACAAAGCAGAAAGCTCCATTTCCCAAAAACACTTGAACAACATTTTTTCCTGTTAGCAAGGATTTATTTTTTTTAATTTCATTCTTCTTGACGATGACTCTAGCTGGCATCTGATTTTTTATTCTTACCTGGACCCATTGCCCTTACAACTGTTTATAAGGACAAAATTAAAAAAACAAAACAATAACAAACAACCCACCACCAGAATTAACCTTATAATGCAGCTAGCTCCTGTGGTTCTTAAAAACTCCTAATTTTCTTAAATACACAGGATCTTTTTTAGAAAATTATACTGTATCTAATCATTACTTTCTATGCCTTGTCCCTGCTTCTAAAATAACTTTATTATTATAATAATGAGGTATTTTTCTTCTCATTTACTGTATTATGTAAATTATTTACAAATTAAGTGTACCTTATGGTAGCGTGCCACTAATTTTCCATCAGAATCAAATACCACATTAGTGTTGTATTGGTAACGGCCATCAGGTGGGCACTGAGGATCACTGGAATTGCATGGCTTCTTGTCCCCAATATTTGCCACAACATAGATAGCATTTTCCTTGGCCAGGCAACTGAGTCTTTCTTGTACTGGAGTGTAGCCAAATCTGGTAATTCATCAGATAAGGGAAAAATTTTTAAAAGATGTATTATCATTTAATTCACATTTACCAAGTAAACAATCATAAAGTGGCTATAGATAAGAGAGAAGGATTAAGACAAGAAAAGAATTGGAAGAAACCATGTCCATGGGAATTTAGTTTAAATATTCCATAGCCTGCCAAGAGAACAACCAGGTTTGTCCTGGAGAGGGTGAGACGAGTTTGGTCCTTGGAGGAAAAGATTCTGAAGCTCTATGCCACATACTTTGGGCATATGGCCAGGAGAAACAAGTCCCTGGAGAAGGAGGTCATGCTTGGGAGGGTAAAGGGACAGCACAGGAGAGGAAGACCCCAAATGAGATGGATTAACACAGTAATTAGGATAATGAGGTTAGAGGTGTCAGAAACAGTGAGACTGGCTCAGGATAGGGCAGGGTCCAGAGCTATTGTACATAGGGACACTATGGGTTGCAGGCAACCTTGATGGCCATAACACCACCATATATATACACACACACACACACACACACACACACACACTATATATATAT